CTCAACTTTTTGCTCCTAAAAACATAGGTGCCAGGAGTTACTTTAAATTACAATTAAAATTAATTAAAACTAAAAATTCTGTTTCTCAGTTCCATTAGCCCCCTTTCAGAGACTCAGTGGACACGTGTGGCTGGCGGCTCTCATACTGGACAGTGTAGATACAGACTTCACGTTCTGTTGGACAGCATGCTTTAGGCCACTCAGCACAGTGCTCTGCAGGTAGCAGGGACTCAGTAAATACTTGAGTGATTGGATGGACAGGTAATGCACAGGGCCCGTGCCTGTGTGTGGTTTTTCTCTCTGCCCAACAAAGAACATTTAATAACAAGGTAGATCACATATGCTTATCTAACATACATTTTTATATAACTGAAGCTAAAGCAAAACATCCTGTTCGTTGGATAAATACGGCCTGCTGCTTGTGTGTACATTGCAGTGTGGTTTTAAAAAGACTGTGATTATAATTTCGGAACTTCAAAATCTGAGTAGGTGCCAGTGTTCTCTCCTTTTTTCATAGGGGGAAAAGAATTACTTTGAAAATCATTTGAAGCTTGGACCAGAATTCCATAGCTCTGTTTCTAGGCTCACTGTGTAGAGTCTTCGTGATTCAGATGATGCAGGGGAAGCTTCAGGTCAGCCTCTTAGAGAAGACATTCCAGCTCTCATGATTTCATGAACCAATAAAATGTCGGTGGCAGTCACAGTACAGGGATGAAGAAGCTGTTTCTTTACACTGTGGTTATCCAATATGCCTACCATTGGCTCACCTGTGTTCAGGTGACCCGACCCACAAGTTGACCTGATTCTGAATGCTCCAGTTGAACTTAAACTAGTGTTTCCTGAAGGTCAAAACCAGAGTTCTGCACAAGAACCTTGTGAATAATGAGCAAATACTTGAACTCCCAGATTGGGCCCTGCCCTTTACACTGTCTGTACTTACATTTAATCAGGGCTTCGGTCATCGCCTCTTCCACTGCACCAGCACGTGAAATGACACAGCCATCATCTATAGCATTTTTAACAGCCCTCAAGCCATCTTTTGTTGTATCTTTGATTTGGTGAGGGCATGCTTATTTTGTCCTTTGACCGATAATGTGATGGAGTGAGGATTGTTCTCGTTTCTCAGTAAAGGCAAACTTCGCTTCTCCCAGTGTGTAGTCATAGACAAGTCCTGCGTGTCCCAGCCAGGATTTAGGTCATCAGCAGAATTTAGGGCTACCTCACTGCAAGCAAGAGTCAGCCTTTCCACATTTCTCCTTTCAGCTCTCTGCGGAGCTCCTGTGCCTTCTTTTGCAAGAGCATCTAAGGAGAAGGGGTCAATGCCGTTTTGATTAATAACAAGCGCTTCATCTGAATCACCACCACACTTTCTTCTTAACATCTGTTTTTTCCTGTTCTATGGTACATTGCATGTGAGGATGTACGCATTTTATACTTATTTTTTTTCGTATCAGGATGCCGTGTCCCATGGTCCAAAACAAGATTAAGCTTGTATAGGTTTAAAATTTATTTCATCTTCATGATCTCAGCCATGAAGAGGTTAATACATTGATCTTTTTTTTTTTTAATGGCTAAAATGAAGTCCATTTCAGCTTCTGTTAAAACTTCAGCAAGTTTAGCATGAACTTTAGTACATAGAGATGTTCTGGCCACATCTATAAGCCTTTCCCTGTTCATCTCTTTGCGTATTTTGACTTGTTCCCCAAACTGAAGTCCCTTTCCCTTTGCAGCTTCAAATCCTTCTGTTATTATTCTGGGATGAAGACCTTCTAATAAACGCACAGTTACAAAACCACCACTGACAGGGAGATCTTCAGTTAGATGCCAACTGTAGTTCATGCTTAAGTAAATTTAAAGAGGGGCATTGTGGGTCATTCATACTCTTTAATGCCATTAAAATGATGTGCTGAACATTAATATGATGTTCTGAATATATTTAAAAGCATAAGTAGTCCTTTCAGTGTAGAGGAAAAGAACAGACATTGCTCTACCACAGAGTCAAAGCCAAGGAGCTGAAGCACGCTTGATGTCCACTGTACAACAGGCCTGTGTGGTTTTTCAGCTTCTCCAGGTTTGAGCACCTTGAGAAACCTTGATGAGGGCACTTGGAGTTCATCTAATCTTGAGTTGATGTTTAGGATCATAATTCTGGCTACTGATTGTTACTCACTCTTGCATCAAGGGAATCATGCCATTTTAGGGTTGGGGAGGACTTTAAAACTTCTTTTTTCTAACGGTTGAGTTCTTCTGCCTGATTTCAGATAGATGACTGCTCAGCTGCTGTTTGTACAGCTTTAGTTTTGAGGCATTTGCTTACTGAAGAGACACCATTTCCTCTTTGAGTATCTCCCATGGTGACCGAAGTCAACCTAACTGTGTCCCCGAGTTACCACAACCAGCAGGTGTTCTCTCTCTCGAGTTCAGTAAGAACGGTTGAGGACAAGTCTTAATTTTCTTCTACTTATCTATGCTTCAAATATTTGAAAATTGGTTTTTATCTTCTCACTGAGTCTTTTCTCTCCCAGGCGGTTAATAGCTAGTGCCTTTAATAGTTTTTCATTAGACATATCTTTCAAATTTGGGGCTTATATAAAATAACTGGCTTTGAAACTGGTTGATTATACGCTCTGTGTAGCACCTTATCCTACTTAGCTTTTTTTTTTTTAATTGATTTGGGAGATTTCACAAAGCTTAACTAAAGCAAGCAAATCTACTAGATGGCAACACTGTGAAACATCTCAGTGATCTTTCTAGCTAGCTAGGGGGAGGGTGTTGCTCAAGCGCTAGAGCACATGCTTCGCGTGCAGGAGGTCCTTAGCATGGGTTCAACCCCCAGAACCTCCTCTAAAAACATTAAATAAGTAAACCTAATTCCCCCCCGCCCCCAAACAAAACAAAAGCAAAACAAGCTAGGTTATATATTTTAGTTGAGGTTTGTTTACTCCGTACATGTCTGTTAAGTACGTGCTATGTGCTAGGTGGTGTGCTAGGTGCCGGGGATACGGCAGACACGAAGACAGACAACATTTGTGCCCTCAAGCTCTTTACAGTCTAGTGGGGTTAAACAGGTACTTAAAGGAAGTGAAGGTCCTGGGATAGGAAGGAAGGTTGAGAAACAGTAATGAGTCCAGTGTGTCTGGAGGACAGCAGGTAAGAAAATCTATCCTCGTCATAAAATAATACTAGTCTGTGTAGCAGTTTCCGGCACATAGAAAACATTCAAAAAATACATAACAGAATGAATGAAGGGGGCTATTCCTTGAGAATTTCAGTTATTGGATTCAAATAGCTATTAGGTCCAGTTATTGGGTCCAAAAATAACAACACAGATACAGATGAGGAGAAGTTAGGACTTAGCAGTGGGCTGTGTGATGATAGTCTTGGGGTCAAGTTGCCTGTAAGGTCAGTAACCGTCAGCAACATCATGTAGGTGTCGGCCGCAGCTGGTTGTCTAAGGATGCTTTAGAAACAGGTTCCAGAACTCAGGTGATAGCACTGCTTTTCTCATTACCTTAAACGTTCACATTAAGAGACTGACAAGCTGGCGCACAGAGAGCGTGGGTAGGGAATGGTGTGTCTGGAAATCCTGACACGGCTGATTATGTCTTGATGAGGGAAGCCTTACGTGGGGTCTGATAGTTATTTTCAGGTACTTCAAGGACCATCTTGTGGATGAGGGATTCGACTTAATTTTATCTAAAAAGTAGAGTTAAAGATTGGAAATTAGAGAGAGAGTGAGTTTGTCGTCATATGAGGAAGAACTTGGTAAAAGACTGTCTGAAAACGGACCGGCCGCCTCCGGAGCCAGCTGTCTTCATTTGCGAGGCATTTAGCTGGACCGCGGTGCCCCACGTGTGCTCTGCAGGTCCCGGAGCTCTTTTGTAGATAAGCACGGAAACCAAGAAGTGTTTTAGAAACTGTCAAAGCTGTTAGACATTGTCACGACATTCTTACAGTGTCTCACAGAAGAGTATCTGTTTATGGTGTATTGGAATTAAAGAACAAATTAACCACACCTGGCTCCTTTACCACGTGCACTGAGCTGGATGGCCATGCATGTAGACAGCATGTCACACAGATGTGGACTTACCAGATGAGTTTAGGTCCCTCCAGTTTAATTTTCTGATTCACTTTCATCCGCCCAGACTTCTGTCCCTCCTCATCTTTCCTACGCATATGATTGAGTCTCCCTGTCCTGAAAAAAATCCCCTCAGTTCTCCTTCTGTTTCAAACTACCAGGCCGGTCTTTCTCCTCTTTTCTGCCTAACTTTACCATTAGTGGTTTCCGTCTTTCCACTTACTCCCTCCCAGACCTTGTCATCTGTCTGACTTGCGTTCCTGACACTGCTCTCCGAAGTTTTCAGTGGCCCCTAGTTTGCTCAATTTAGTGGCCTTTGCTCAGTCTGCATTTGACCTCTCCATGGAATGTGGTATCCACCCTGTGCCTGCCACTCTCTTTTCTTGATATGCATAAAAGCAGTGCTTCTGATTTGCCTGTTTTTCTGGCTGTGTGTCCTCAGGTTCTGGTGGTTTGTCAACTTTTGTGTTTCTCTTAGAAATCAGCGTTCCCCAAGACTCTGTCCTTGGCTCCTTTCTCTTCCATCTCAGTGGGCATCGCCATCCATTCCCATGGCTTCCCTTACCTCGTCATGTTGATGGTCCAGGTCTGATACAGCTTCTGAATTCCAGAGTAGATTTAAAAAAATCTGATCAGACATGCCGTATTAGTACCTCTATGTCTCCATCCCAAAATCCTTGCCTGCAGAGATGACGTATATGGATTTGGGGCCTCAGACTGATGTTGAGGAAGATCTTGTTGATGGCAGGCAGGGAGAGTTGTTTGGAGCAGTTTGATGCTTGCGGGAGGACAGTGAAGAAACTTGAGGAAGACCAGGTAAGAGTGAGTGAGGACTTTCAATGAAGGTGGGTTAGAGGGATGGACAGGAGGAGACAGGTGTGAAGAGTGACAGCATTACTTTGGATGGACGTGGAGCGGAGGAGGAGGGAAGGGTTTGAGGGTTTGGGATAACCCCTTAATTTTGCTCTTGATGGGTGGTAATGGTATTTGCTGAGGTGGGACATGCAGGAAGGGGAGGAAGGGGAACTATATTGCTAGAAAGGCGGTGAGTTGAGTTTGGGAGTGTGCTGAGCGTGACGTGCTTCTGTGACTTCCAACATCCTCTGTACAGTATTCACCTAGACAGCCGTTCCTTTCTGAGATGTAATCTGTTTAGCAAATGTTTGGGTGCCAGCTCTAGCCAGGCACCACTTCGGATTGTGTTCTCCCACTGACTCCCATCGTACGTAGTTTCTGGAGAGATTCTGAGTGGTACCATGGCCTGGCCAAGAAGTGAGTCTGGCCGTCTCCTATAAAAAAGTCGTGCCGTAAGTGGCGCTTAACAGAGGTCGTGCTCCTTGTTTTCAGCTTGCCCCGGATGACGCCTGGCGTTGCCCGCACTGCAAGCAGCTGCAGCAGGGGAGCATCACACTCAGCCTCTGGACCCTGCCCGATGTGCTTATCGTGCACCTGAAGAGATTTCGCCAGGTAAGGCAGACCTCTGTCCTGGGAACAAAGCTGTGGCCAAGCTTCTTGCGCCCCCTAGTGGTGGGGAGCATGGAGTGGTCTTTGGTGTCCCTGTTTGATCCAGTGATCTGTGTTACAGACACACACCTGTCCCTGTGAGGCCATGTTTTGTTCTTTCCCAAAGCAAAGTTCGAGCATCCTGTGACCCTTTAAACCCTAAACATTTTAGTTCATACTGTAGCTGTTTTACTTTGTTCCTGAGGATTTGCTTTAGATTTTAGAATGTTGTGCTCAAGTAAGTGTACTCTGGGATTTAAAAAAACAGTTGAGCTCCTTTCTGGGGGCGGGTAGAATTCTATTTCTACCTAAAGTGATAACGGGTGTTGTCCTGCTTCCAAGAAGCTGCTGTACAGTTGGGGAGATGAGTCATAAGTATATGCAAAGAAACTCTGCTTTGAGTGGTCTTGCTTTGTGAGCCAATTTTCCCAAAAAGGCTCTCTATTCCTAAGGTTAGAGTTGTCCTGGCAGCCCCATCGTAAGAGAGCTAAATGGGAGGTAAAAGCTGGAGAGGTCTCTGAGCCTGGCTTTGAGAAGGCTTGTATCTGAAATATTAGGAGGAGGCCTGTACCAGGTGAGGTGGGAGCAGGGCTGCACACGCGTCGTGGCCGAGGGCGCCGTGGGTGCAGAGCATGTGCACGGGGCTGAAAGCAGAGGCCGGTGGGGCTCTGGGGGCTGCCAGGGGAAGGCATGAATTAAGGTAGAAGAGGCGAGTGGGGTTGGTCGTCCCAGCAGAACCTTGCAGGCAGAGTGGGATTCTGAAGCAGAGAAGCAGCACTTCCCAGTCTCTGTTTTGAAGAGCATTTAGGCTGCTGTGTGGAGGGCTGGAGGCCACAGGGAGAGGACGGGAGACCTGCAGGCGGCCATTGCAGGCATCCGGGGGAGGCATGCTGATGGCTTGCAGTAGGGTTGCGGCGGTGCTGATGGAGGGATCCGGATAGGTTTGAGAGATGTCGAGGACCTCTGATGAAGTGAAGGTGTCGGAGGACACGCGCATGGTCCCCGGGGTGGGGCTGTTTTCACACAGAGGTTTGATGTCCAGCTTCTGTACCAGTGAAGAGCGGGCATTTGCCTTGAGGGTCCCAGCTGCACCTTCCGTTGGGATCTGCAGGTGGACTGCTGCTTGAGGGTTTGGACCCTAGCCTTCTCTGTCTCCTTCCACACACACAGACTGACTTCCTTTGCTTTCTGTTTCTTTTGAAGACATAGGACCACCCTTCAGCACCCCAAGCTCAAAACTGCATTGCCATCTTCGACTCTTCTTTCCTGCCCTGTCACCTGGGCAGTCACCGGTTCAGCTTGGCTGTGCCTCTCCACTGCCTCCTGTATGTGGCCCCTTCTCCCCATTCTTGGTGTCACCCTGCCAGGTCAGGCTTCTCATACTTCCCAGCTGGTTGCAATTGCAGTGTCTTCTAATTCTTTTCTTAACCAACACTGCTCTTCCCTTTCTGCCGTGTTTCAGGCACTGTTTATGACCACTCTGATGACATCACCTCCTGCTCCTTCAGAGCCTCAGTGTTTCCCCTTGACTGCAGAACAAGAGTCAGATTCTTTAGCCTGACCTTCCTGACCATCCAGGGCCCATCCTACCTTTTCTTATGAACATTTTTCTTCCCTTGGCTGACCCGTAGCTCCTTAGGATCGGCATTATCTGTGTCCGATTAGTTTTTTAGAGCTCCCACAGACACAGGAAACATTGGTAAATATCTATTCAACTGACAGATTTCAAAGGATTTCTCAGTGGGTTTAATGGGAAATACAGATTACCCAGGATTGTCAACTGAATGACTATATTAGGCGGAGTCACTGTTAACTTTTCATGTGCCTGCTGGGGGAGGTGGGAGGAAAGAGGCCCTGCTGTGTGAACAGCTGTTCTCCGCCGGCACCGGGCTCTGCCCTTCACGTGTGTTACTGTCCCATTACTTTTCATGTCTCTGTGACAGAGGATTCAGGATGGACCACCTGAAATGGTCATTTTGCAAGTTAAAGACAGAAAACCACTTTATCAGTTAAGGAAACGAAGACTCAGAGAGGCTCATCACCCGTACATGTAGATCACTGATTCCATTTCTGGTAATATTAATACCTGGTCCTCCAGGTAGTTGAAACGATTAGTCTGTTTCCTTATTTCGTGTGTGTCTTGGGAAACGTCCGACAGGTAACTCAGACCTCCTTCAGCTGATGGAGTCTGCGTTCCACACTGAACTGACCTGCCATCTGTTTGCATGGAAATATCATCAGAACTTGTTTTTCTTCTTGTAACAGGAAGGAGACAGGCGTATGAAACTTCAGAACATGGTCAAGTTCCCTTTGACTGGCCTGGACATGACACCTCATGTAGTTAAGAGAAGCCAGAGCAGCTGGAGCTTGCCATCCCATTGGTCTCCGTGGAGACGGCCCTACGGACTCGGGAGGGACCCTGAGGACTACATCTATGACCTGTATGCTGTGTGCAATCATCACGGCACCATGCAAGGGGGGGCACTACACAGGTCTGCAGCGCGAGAGGCCGGGCGTCCGTGCTGACCATTCCTCCCGACGCGTTTTGCTTGTGACAGGGCTGCTTTGCTTTAGAGCCTCACTTTCTCTTCCAGCAGGCAGTGTGGCAACCGTGCGGGCGGTTTTCATCCTCTGGGTCTCTGTCCTGTGTTGGATCGTCTGGTCGCGGTCTGACCTGAGCCGGGAAGGGTGTGTGCAGACGGTGACATCGTCTGGCTCACCCAGGACTTGCTTTGTTGAGCTCACCTACAAGCCCCGTTGAAAGTTTTGCTCTCCTTTCTTGAGGTCCTGGCATCTATCGCCCTTGCTTGGAGCAATTGTCAATCACTTTTATAGTGTCTTTAAAGTGACTTGGCAAGATTTTTCATTTTAAGGTTAAATTTACTTTTTCATTTGTAAAAGCAACAGTACTCATCATATGAAATTTAGAGACTGGAGAGAGGTAGGAAAAACAATTCCATCAACCCATGGGCTTATCACTCAAAAATAACCACTTAAACATTTTTAGAAACTGTGATAAAATATGCATAACAAAATTTACCATTTTTAACCATTTTAAGTATGTGGTTCTGTAGCATTAAGTACATTCACATCTTTGCAGCCATCACCACTGTCCATCTCCAGAATTTTTTTCATCTTCCCAAGTTGAAATTCCATAGTTGTTAAACAATAACTCCCCGTTGCAGGGGTTAGCAACCTGCTGCCCACACGTGAGGGCCTTATGGGCTAATGGGGGAGACGCTGAATTCTTACAAACACTATTTTTAATGACCACAGAATCTTCTGTTGATAGGTCTCTAATGTTATATGACTGTCCCCCATTGTTGAACACAAACATTGTTCCTAGTTTTTAACTTTGAAGATAACATTGATGAACATCTTTGTGCATAGTCACCTCTTCCGTATTTTAATTCTGTATTTCCTGGAGATTGAGTCTCAGGAATGGTATTGTTGGGTTACGGGCACGCATGCCCCTGGGGCAAGCAGGTGGATTTGGGGGCTTCTTGCTGGGACACCTGCGTGTGGGGGACTTGATGTGAGGGTGCCCCTACTGCATGGTGGCC